GGATACACTCTCAGGAAAGCTCACAAACCCTCAAAACTACAATTAGAGGCCCAAACCAAAGACATAAAAAAAGAATTAAGGAAGAATATAGTATTATATGTGAACAATATAACTATGGTCAAGTAAAGATTGCCAATCTAACTGCCAAACTTGATGCATTAAAAGCTAAATATAAAGATGTTAAATTTAACTTTAATAAATATGATGTGTCAAGTGAGGTAGTAGTGTCCATGATATAAAAACAATTAAAATTTAAAGATAATCAGAATAAGGGTCTAGGGTATCATAGTGTTCCACCTCCGCTCAACGATAACTATAACCCACCCCTTCGAGCCAATGAGGTAAAGACATCTGCTTAGTTTGGCCCACCCCTTGTATTAGCTTCAATTAAGACTGAACAAACTAGCCCAAATGAGAATATTGAGGTGAATGATACTAATGTTTCTACCTCATGTGCATAGCAGGTCACTGTGCAAGATGGGCATGAGTAGAACACAAATAAATCTTGTTCTGCTAAAAATGATTCAAAAACTTGTGATGATGTGAGCAATTCTAATTGTTCTATTTCATGTGCAGATAAAGAAGTAGTGCAAGATGAGAATAAGCAGAACAAAATTAATTCTTAGTCTGCTAAAGTGTTTCAAAAGCTTGTGAAGATGACACTCATGTTGTTGAAAAATCCCAACCACCAAAATCTATCAAGCAATTAAACCAATACTCTTGTTCTTGTAGAAGTTCTTTGAAACGAACTTCAGTTGGACAAAGACCAACTCACAATCTGATTTATATGAAAAGACAGACTTGCTTTAACTGTTGAACTCCTGATCACAATAACAAAAATTGCACACATTGTTCATATGTTCCTTACTACAGACAAGGGTGGCAAAACGTGCCAAGAGGGAGATCTCCAAAAGAAATCCTTCGAGGTCACAGTCGCGCAATGCTGACTGGAATGTGGGAAAGTCCAAGAATCAAACTCCTAAGGAAAAGAAGGGAATGTTGGAAAAGAAGCCATATTCAATAAATGGTTCAGTTAAACGAAGATCAATTAGTTCGGAGTCATCTCGGCGGTCGGTTTCAAGTTCTAAAGCAAGTGATAAGGCATACATCTGATCAAACAGGAAATAGGTTAAACTCAACTACAGCTGGGTACCAAAGGTTCATACTCCCAAATCATCTAATGATTTTAACATTTCTTCATCTTCGGTGTCTGATAAACAGGATATATCATGGGAGAGAGTACCTTGTGTAGATGATAATGATCAACCCAACTTGAAAATAGACTGGGTACCAAAGACCAACTAACCCACACTACGTGTCAGAACAGCTATGGGGGAATATCATCAGACTTCGGTATGTTGATAGTGGTTATTCCAGGCACATGATAGGAGGCATCTCTCAACTACACAACATTCATAATTTTAAGCGAGAGCATGTGTTCTTTGCGGGTTAGGAAGAAAGAAGTGGATCACAAATGGGGATTGTACTTAATGACGTGAAGAACTTTTGGATCTATTCCAGAATTGAAACACCACTAAGTCTAAATGTGTTGCTGCATCTGTGTGTCGTTCTCAGATCATCTGGATGCAAATTCAATTGTTGAATTACGGTTTGAGTTTTCTTCTCGATACTTCTAAGTTTTTCTTAAAATGATTCGTTTCAAAGACAAAATTTCCTTTTAATTTTGCGTTTTTATTTTTCTTTCTTCCCCATGCACAAATTTAGGAGGAGAATTAAAAAAAATTAAAAAATCAAAAATTACAAAAATACGCTTTTTTTTTTTTTTTTTTCTGTTTTCATAAAATTCAAAAATTACAAAAGTATGTTTATTTATGTTTCTTCTTGAGAAAAATCAAAAATCAAAAATTATCTTTATTGCTTTTGAGCGTATTTTAATTTTTATTTTTATTCTTAGTTGCTTTGTTTGTGTGCTAAGTTTAGTTTTATTTTGTTTTTATCTCAAAATTTCGTTTGTTTTGAAATGTGAATTCTTAAGAAGAAGAGTCTCAAAGAAATTGTATCGGAATATTCAGAGCAAGGAGAAGAGACTTTGAAAGGAATTTACGGAGGATTCAAATGTGAATGAAAGACTCATTCATATGTTCATGTTGAAGTTATGAAGAAATCGAAGACAAAAGCTGAATCCAAGAACAAAGTGAAGATTGATGAGAAAAGAAAGCTACAATCTAAGGAGGAGTTTGTTAGGTCATAAGAGAAGAAAGCTATAAACCAAGGGGGAGATTGTTAGGTCATAAATTATGGTTTATACTTTGTTTTTCTTAAGCTATTAGAGTTCTTGGTCTAGGATAGAAAGCACCATGTTTTAGTGTTGATTGGACCGAAATCGCATGTGATTTCGGTTAGGCCTTATATTGTTTTGTTTGAGTTTTGGGCTTGGGCTTGGTTATTAGTTCTAGGCATAAATAGTGTCAATTATGCCTTGTAAAGGGAGTTGGACATTCAAGGGGTTGCCATATTGCTTGGGACGTGAGTTAGAGTGAAACAGAGAGAAAACAGTGTGTAATCGGAATCTTATGTACCGGATAATTGATCAATACATCGTGTGCATTGAAGATTAATTATCTTGTTCTTATTCATCTTATATCTTGCATTATTCACTTTGATTTGTAGGAAAATTCGATTTTAACATTGTGTTATTTTTGTCACGAGACACAAGGTTTTCCATTTTGTTATAATTCTAACTAGTTGACCGGTCAGTCTGGTTGTTTATTGGCATGACGTAGTAACGTGTCAGTTTTGATAACATGACATGCTGAAATTGTATGCCGACGTGTCAAAATTAGAAAAAAAAACATTTATCACAAAAAAAAAAAAAACTAAATTTTCACTTTTTTCAATTTAGACACTTATTTTTCATTTCTTTTCAATTTTGACACTCAATTTTTTTTTTCTAGATGCAAGTTTAGGCTCTTTATAGTTGATTTTGGTCCATTTTAGGGATGTTCTTGGAGTTGAATAACTCCAAAGCTTGTTATGGCACTTTCTAGGCCTTTGGACTTCTAGCAAGTGAGAAAAAGGTTCTTGTTTGGATTCTCTTGGACCCATGTATAAAGTCTTAGCATTTAGAGAGGTTAATGAAATTAAGGTTCAAGATCTTGTCTTGTGGTGATGTCTTAATTAATAAAGTTTGAAAATTTATCCATTGAGTCAATGAAATAACCAAATCTGAAGTCATGTGTCTTGATTTGAAAGAATTAAACTCTTAATGAAGAAATGACATCCTGACTGAAACCACGACATAGCCAAGGCATTACCACAACATGGTGGCGCACTGCAATTCTATTGTTTTATCCGGACTTGACTACGGCATAGCCAAAAGCTTGGTGTGTACAGATCACCTCCCATACACAAAATGTTTGTTTATCTCACTAATATCTATGTGTGTGGCATTTAGGTCATCTACGATGGAGGTTAAATGAAATGAGTTGAATAGAGTGTCATGTAGGAAAAAAAACATGTAATTTCTATTAAATTCATAAAAAAACCTAGCATTTTGCATTAACAATTTCTATGATTTGTTCGATCTTCATTAAACTCTACAAGTTTTCTTTTTTCTATATTATATTCAATTTTATTCTATTAAATCATCAATGAACCTCCATTGTGGATGACATTGTTTATCAAAAGGAAACTTGAGATTAAGATCAAATCTCTTCCTTTCACCACTTTTTTAATATTTTCTTTTTGTTTTTCTACGAGATGGATCAAAAAATTCAAGTCTTTCCTGTCCCAAACCCATAACCTCTTACCCAAATCTGACCTAATTTTTCTATTTACAACTTTTACTTTGTTTTTAAAACTTTGTACAAGTTAGACCCATTTTTACAAGTTCGTTATACACCTTTTTTATAATATAAACCATTTTTCAAGCTTTTCTTATCCAACTTTTCTCTTTTTAAAAATTGGCCCAATTTCTATTTATCGACAAATTTGGTCCTAACTTTTCTATAAACTTTTGACAAGTTATTTTACGATTTTGTTTTATTTGTTTTTCTTAATTTATTTTTTAAAATATTTTATTTTGCAACATTGCTTTCGACAAATGTGTGATTTCTTTACCGATTTAATTTTTTACAACTTTTCGCATCTTCATTTTGATGTTCTTTTCTATTTTTTATAATTTTTTATATAGAACACAGGTCCCGCTGCGATATACAGGTCCCGCTGCGATATACGGAGGTGCAAACCCCAATTTTATAAAAATTTGCATTGTCATCTATCCATTCTAGATTGATGTTTTGTGTCTTGCATGACCATGTTTTTTTCCAAGTAATTTGTTCTTTAAAGTTTTTTATCCACAAATCTCGCAAAGTGTTCTCAAATCCATGCTTCGGATCCAACAAATCAAACATTCGAATTCGAAGTAAATCACACCCCATATACATGTATGCAATCTCAAGATTCCATGCAATATATGATTATGTACATATGAATTGCTTGAAGTTGAAAAAAAAAATGCAAAAGTAACTATTAGAAAAAATAAACACAACACCAAACATAACCATATTCAGCGCCGAAATCTCTCCGGCATAATTTAGAGATTGCAATATCTTATTCTGATACAAAATTTGACAAACGAACACTACAAGAAATTACATCTGTGCCATTGCAACAAATCCTCTTCTCTACCCAAATCATAATTTAAAAACCTGACTTTTAAAATTTTATACACAAAAATAAAAAACGAGACACATTACAAGTAATAAAATACATCCAACACGTTTGCAACAAATCTTCATCTGTGCAAACCACCCTATACAACAATTTACAAATCACTATTAATACTAAATGGCATCATGCCAATCAGTCCACATCCAACATGAGGAAGGTAAATCAGAATGTCCAATCTAATACCCAAACTTTGTCTACTATATATCTTCCCCTCATGTGGGGACCACTATCAGTACTATTGTGAACTAATCACAATAGTACTATCAAATTCCCACATATTTGACATTAAAACAAACATGTGGGGACTACTAACACGACGGCGGTTGAAGTTGTTTCAACCGCCGTACCACTTGTTTCATGGTGGGTCTTCTAGACAGCGACTCCACCGTGCAAACAACTGCAAGATGCAGAACCTCTACCAAATCATCATGCGGCCCCGAATCCCATAACCCCGCGGTAAAAAACTCCTTCGCGTGTCCTTGCCCTAGCAACATACATGCCCACCCGACAATATTAAACCCGTTACCATAACATGAAAACGAAGGATCCAACGCTTTTTTATCAGACAAAAGCTCCAAAAGCACCACACCGTAGCTATACACATCCGCTTTATCCGATACCCGACACGTCATTGCGTATTCCGGTGCCACGTAACCGAAAGTTCCGGCGACTCCGGTGGTGGCGTGAGTCTCCGACGTCCCCAAAAGCCGAGCCAAACCAAAATCCGATAAATACGCATTGAAATCATCATCTAACAAAATGTTACTCGGTTTCACATCACGATGAAGGACTCTAGGGACACATTGGTCATGGAGGTAGTGTAGGGCCCGCGCTACATCCAACGCGATTTTGTGTAGGACCCGCCAGTCAACCGCTCGTGTTGACCGTTCTTGGATGAATCTTTCCAAATTGCCACCTGGCAAGTAGTTGTAGATAAGGAACATTTCGGTTTCACTCGCGTGGTATCCGATTAGGGTTACAAGATTCGGGTGGCGGAGCCGCCCTAATGTTTTGATTTCCGCCTCGAATTGTTGTACTCCCTGAAACCGCCCTACCGCCAGCTGTTTCACCGCCACCGGAAACCCGGGGGCGATTTCGGCTTTAAACGTGGCCCCGAACCCACCGTTTCCGATACAGTTGCTGACATTGAAGTTTCCGGTGGCTTGAATGACACTCTCGAAAGTCAATGGGACACCAAGATCCGTAAAAAGGGTGACTTCTTTACGGGTCGACCCGTGGGTTATGGATTTGGGTCGCCATTTGGTGTAAAAGAAGAGAACCATGAGAGCTAAAAGGACGGAAAAAATGGCGGAAGCTGATGTGATTAAGGCGATCTCGATGGAACTGAAGTTTTGGTTGTTGGATTTTGTGGATGGAGTTGGTGAATTGGAGTAATTTACGAAATCGCCACTGGTGGATCTTCCGGGTTCCGGTGGTGGTTGTTGTTCTGTGCTTGTGCTTGACATTAAGTTTTCCGGCAAAGGGCCGGAGATATTGTTGCCGGAGATGTTGAATTTGATCATCTTTGTGAAACCCACCGGAATCTCGCCGGAAAGTTTGTTGTTGTTGAGAAGAAGAATAGTTAGATTTCTCAGATTTACAAGATCTTCTGGAATCTTTCCAGATAAGGAATTTGAGGAAAGTTCTAGAACTTGTAAAGAATTTAAACTTCCCAAACTTTGAGGAATCGAACCGGAAAGATTGTTGTTTGATAATGAGAGATTCCTGAGAACCTTAATTTCTCCAAAATTATCAGGGATTACTCCATGTAACATGTTGTAGCTCAAATTGAGTGAAATTAAAGAATCTAATTCACTGAAAGAAGAAGGAATGATCCCAGATAAACGGTTCCCGGAGACATCGAAAACCCGCAAAGATCTGCAATTCCGGCCAATATTCGCCGGAATCTCGCTGGAAAACCTGTTCGAGCTGAGATTCACAACAATTTCTTTGAAATCGGGACATTTATCGAACAAAACTCCGGTGAGGTTGTTCTCTCCGGCGAGAAACGAATAAACCGAGTTTTTTTCCGGTTTTGATGTAACCGGAATCGAAATTAACGATCCTGTGAAATTATTCCTGCTGAAATTATGAATTATTGCACGATTTCCACCATCGTTTGGAGCTTGAGATGTGAAGAATTGTATGTATGTTGATGATGGGTCGAGGGGTTCACAGACGGTGTGGCGAAAAGACGGAATTGCCCCTGAGAGACGATTGTTGCTGACATCGAAAAGAGTCATACAAGGAACCGGGAGTTTATTGCTAAGTTGTCCTGTTAACTTGTTTGAACTCAAATCAAGAAAATGTAACTTTTTACAGAGATTAAGCCCGTTTGAGATTTCACCTGTGAAGAAATTTTGACCCAAATTTACCATTTGTAAGGTTGTACAAGCACCCCAATTGGTCGGAAATTTGCCTTCTAAAGTTGTTCTTGGTGCCCATAGGAGCTTTAGCTTGGGTAAAATAGTAATTTCGGAAGGTAGTGGACCCTGAAAGTAATTATACTCTTCTTCGGATTGAGCGGAATTAGGGATGGGAGTGAAGAGGTTTGAGAGCACGAGAATCGAGAGGTTTTTGCAATTCCCGAGTTGTGATGGAATTGGGCCGCTAAGACTATTTCTTGAAACATCGAATATTTGTAGGGATTTAAACTGACCAAATTCGATTGGGATTTCTTCTTGAAGCATATTTGAATACAACAGAACTGATCGCAATTTGGTGCAATTTGATAAACTTGAAGGAATTGCTCCAAGTAAGAAGTTTGCTGCGAGTTCTAGATGCTCAAGATTACCACAATTATACCCGATTTCACTTGGGATTTTGCCTGAAAGCTGATTGAATGACAGGTATAAGCCCCTTAAATTGATAAACTCGTTGAAGAACATTGGAATTGAACCATTTAGATGATTTCCTGCAAGATTTAAGACCTGGAGATTCTTCAAATTGGATAACGAATTGGGTATTTTTCCAGATATCTGATTAAACCCGAGGTTAAGAACCCTAAGGTTTTCCAAATCTCTGAAATTGGAGTTTAAATTCCAACTGAGCATGTTCCCTTCGAGATCAATCACTTCCAGCTTCTTCATACCCCAAATTTCATCAGGAATTTCACCACTTAAATCATTGAACGGGAGCGATAAGATTCGAAGTTCTGAAAGCTGTGAGATAGCATTTGACAACTTACCCATCAATTTCGCATTACGATCCACACAGATTTTCCTGATTCCAAATCCATACAGTTGAAATTGATCATATTCAGTACAAGTGAAAGAGCCTGAATTACCTCCACCGGTGATATTAAGAGCTACAACCCGATAATCCGACCCGCATGAGACTCCGACCCACGAACAGATATCCGAATTGCTTTCTCTCCAGCTTGCCAGCACTCCCGACGGGTCGGAAACGGAGCTCTTGAACTCCAGCAGTGCCGATTTGTCCAAATCGTTACCAAAAACGGCGTAGGAACTGAAAGAAGTGATGAAGACACAGAGAAGTGACACGAGCTTTAAGGGTATTGGATGACGACCCATTGGTGGAACCCTAACAAGGGTTCTATGAAATTAAATCTTGTAGAAGGGGTTGATTTGGATTTAGAGATCTGTGTTTTTGTATCAAGTGTTAAGAGGGTTTTATTCAAACCCTAATTCTGTGTTTTGCGAAAGAGAGCAAGACCAAGTTTTCGCCTTTCGATTCATTTTCCTTCTCTGTTCTTTGGGTTTTTTGGAAAAAAGTCAAAAGGTTTGCAAAATCTGTAATTTTAGATTTGGACCTTTATCTTTGGTTTTCATTGCTTATACACACCCAAAACTTTCAAAAATAAATCTCATCCGAATTAATGCGAACAAATAAATAATGGGATAATCATAAAAATAACATTTGATTATAATTTTATTTCGGATTACAAATGTTAATACATATGTTGTCTAAATCAACTTTATTATAATAATATATGTAATCCAATATAAAACTGTCTGGTTAAAAACTTAAAAGTATAAAAAAAAAAAAAAAATTATAAAATACATGTTGAAAAATGACTATCATGTCCTGTCGTATGGTTCATTGAAACATGAGTGCCACAATCTTCTGTTAAGAGTATCCGGTTGCCTTCGTTGCTTGTAAACTGAAAATATATATTCGTTGAGTCAAGGTAAACCAAACATTTGACCACTTTGTTATTAGCCTTTTGGTCCACCCAGAGATGCCTTTTAAAGTTGCATTGTCAATATTTACAATATAAAAAATAAGGTAATAAGACTAATTAAGGTAATGAACTTTTTGATTTGTTCACGTGTAGGTAACTATCTTTTATTTGTACACATTTAGGTAACAAACTTTTTGGAACTGTTCACATATGACCATTATGACATGTTATAGCAGGTTACATTCGGCTACAATAGGTCATATAGTTATATGTAAACACTTTCAACAAGTTCGTTACCTAAATGTGTACAAAAAAATAGTTATTCAAATATGAACAAAACCAAAACTAAGAGTAAATTACACGAATGGTCCCTATGGTTTAGGGAATTTGTGTGTTTGGTCACTAACTTATTTTTTTAATTCAGATCGCTCCAACTTTTTTTTTTTTTTGCATTTGGTCTCTGTCTTACCTAAAAAGACTATTGTGTCCTTATCAATTTAATTTTTTTAATTAATTTTCTTATTTATGTATTTTTTATATGTTTAAAAAAACTAATAGACTCCATATATTTGTATCTCCTCATCATCCTTAACTTCTGTTTTTTTTTTCATCTTTAGTAATGTCGATGTCTTCACCATCCATTCTTTTTCGGTCCTTCAACTCCAGTGAACCAACACCACAACCCATTAAGGTTAAGAGATAGCGGGTTATGATGTTTGTTCGCCAGAGTTGAAGGACAAAAAAAAAGATGGTGAAGACTTCCATATCATTAAAGATGGAAAAAAAAAAATAGAAGTTGAAGAGTATGAGAGATGAGATGGTGACCGGTAAGACCCAGATTAAATGTCTCAAATGTAGTTTCAAGTTTACGGTGAGGAGATACAGATATGTGAGATCTATTAATTTTTTTAAACATATAAAAACAAATACATAAATAAGAAAATTAATTAAAAAAATAAATTAATAAGGCACAATAGTCTTTTCAGGTAAGATGAGGACTAAGCGCACAACAAAAATAAACAGTAAGGACCATCCAAATTAAAAAAATAAGTTAGGGACCAAACGCAAAAATTCTCCTAAATGACAGGGACCATTCGTATAATTTACTCTTATTTTTTGTTTTGTTCATATTTACGTAATTTTTTTTGTACACATCTAGGTAACAAACTTGTTGTAACATCCAAAATTTCAAACAAATTTAAACTTTTAAAAACATATCAAGTTCATAAAATATTACAACTTTGTTTTCAAAACATTGTTTATCAGAGTCTTGTCCCTAAAAATAACATAATAGCAGGAGCTCTACGATCACGCATTGGCCTTGCCGCGATCCCCTGATGTACCTGAAACAATAAACTGAAAATGTAAGCCCGAAAGCTTAGTGAATTACCCCAAAATACCGATACACATATAGTTCCCATAGCAATATCATACCAATCAAAACAGAACAGCATGCACTGGGTCCACAGCTTTACAAGCTGGACTACCCGTGGGCCCTCAGTACGAGTCTGGAATGCCTACCGGGCCCTCAGCTCGTATATGGAATGCCATCGAGCCTTCAGTACGAGTCTGGAATGCCTACCGGGCCCTCAGCTCGTATCTGGAATGCTCTCGAGTCCTCAATATTAGTCTGGAATGCCTACCGGACCCTCAGCTCATATCTGGAATACTCTTGGGTTTGTTGGCTACCGCACGGAGCAGTACAACCTCAACCCACCCCACATAACATGTCGACATGTAACAGATAAATGCACATACAGGTAATCAATCAGTATCACAGGCAATCCTACAGATCTACCTGACTAGTATATCAACTGACATACATTACTAACTCAACTCAACATATCAATGACTACTAGGATATCAAATCCAATGGGCTGACCTTGGTGCCTTAGACCCCTTAGTATAGTGAGGATAACTCACCTTGTAGATGTCAGCTCGGTAAGTAATCACAGCTCTCCGATCACTTGTCAAAGACTCCACCACTTATTACCATAATTTGATTATGCTCATAAGTCTCTGTCCTCACAGGGTACTCTATAACCCAACTAGTTAACCCTGATCAAGGTCAAAGTCCTTAGTCAAGGTCAACAGTCCATGTTGACCTTAACTCGTCAAGTACTCCCGGCTGCTCACCGAGTTCCTCGAAACTTTTACCTACTCGTCAAGTCACCGACGTGACTCGCCGAGTTCCCATGATTCTCGATTGAGGCCCTAGAGCCACCCGCCGTGTTTCTCTTTTAGTAATACGTTGATACACACACATTCCTAACTTGGAGGAAACTCATCCAACTCGCCGAGTTGCTCATGCAACTCGTCGAGTCTAAGGCAACCTTCATCGGACTCGTCGAGTTGTTCTACCAACTCGTCGAGTTCACGACTATATTCATCCGACTCGCCGAGTCGTTCTTGAGACTCGCCGAGTTCCTTTAGTCTTTAAGCCATACTGATCCATTTTAATCCATGCAACGACTCCAAACCTCATATCCAAGATTCCAGGGCATGCCTTTCACGTAAAGTTGCAAACTTTATGCATGGCTAAAAAGGTCCTTAATGTCCAAAACTAAGCTCTTAATGGGTTTCATGCACAAGGAAAAGCCTCATTCACGTCCAAGACAGGAACTTTATGGATCTAGAACTCGGGAATGGTCCAGATCTGAAGTTACAACTTCATATCTAGCTTATGTTTTGCAATATCACCTTACTTACACCTCAAAAACCCTAGATTCCTACTATATGAGATCTAGAAGGGAAAACGGATATAGGTGTCGACTTGGTACCTTCTATGAGTGCTAGCTGAGTTAGATTTTGGGTTCCACTCCTCCCTTGCTTCTAGTCCTTTGCTTGTCCAAGTTCTTCCTTCCACAAGTTCTCCTTTCAAGCTTTCAAGGCACTAATGGTACAAATACTCTGTTAGGGTTTTCCTTTGAGTTCTATCTAACTGTAAGGAGGCCAAATGGGGCTTAAGCCTCCTTAAATAGAGTGCAGTACCCGGGACTTAGGGTTTCTTTTGCCAGATCCTACTCACCGAGTCCCACTCATGGACTCGCCGAGTCAGTCACTTAAGTTGCAATTCAATCTCGCTGCTACTCGACAAGTAGGGCAACCAACTCGTCGAGTAGGGCCAAACCAAGAAACTACAATGGGACAATACCTGAGAATCGGGGCGTTACAACTCTCCCCCACTTGAACTAGACTTCGTCCTCGAAATCCGCTGGGATGAAGAATGTCGGGTAGTGCTCGCGCATCTCCGCCTCCGGCTCCCATGTCCACTCGGATCCCTTATGATGTTCCCATTGTACCTTTACTAAAGGTATCCCCTTGTCCACAGAATCTTCATCTTTCTTTCCAAAATGGCCACAGGCCTTTCTACATAGTTCAGGCGCTCATCGATCTGAACATCATCCAATGATACCACAACCTCCTGGTCCGTATTGCACTTTCGCAATTGCGATACGGGAAAAGTATTGTGGATCCGACTAAGCTCTTCCAGAAGCTCTAGTCTATAAGCCACCTTACCAACCCTTGCAATGATCCTGAATGGCCCAATGTATCGAGGGCCCAATTTTCCCCTTTTCCTGAAGCGGATCACACCCTTCCAGGGCGAGACCTTCAGAAGTACCATGTCGCCTATCTGAAATTCCAATTCGGATCGGCACCTGTCGGCGTAAATTTTCTGCCGACTCTGAGTTGTCTGCAACCTCTGTTTGATCTGTTGAATCTTCTCGGTCGTCTGCAAAACCACCTCCATCCGGCCCATTACCCTGTGGCTCACCTCGCCCCAACAAATCGAGGTGCGACATCTCCGCCCGTACACCAGCTCGAATGGCGGGGCGCCAAGGCTAGAATGATAGTTGTTGTTGTAGGCGAACTCTACAAGCGGTAGGTGAGAATCCCAACTCCCACCAAGGTCGATGGCACACGCCCGTAGCATGTCCTCGAGGATCTGAATAGTCCGCTCGCTCTGGTTGTCTGTTTGAGGGTGGAATGTTGTGTTGAAGTGCAACCGCGTGCCCAGCTCCTCGTGAAAATTCTGCCAGAAACGGGAGGTAAACCTGACATCCCGATCTGAGACAGTGGAAATGGGAATCCCATGGTGAGACACGATCTCACGAACGTACACCTCGGCCAACTTTTTGGCTGAGAAACTCTCCCGTATGGCCAAGAAATGGGCACTCTTGGTCAATCGGTCCACGATGACCCAAATGGCATCGAACCCCTTTGTCGTCCTTGGCAGTTTTGTGATAAAGTCCATCGTGACCTACTCCCACTTCCACATAGGAACCTCCAGGGGCTGCAGCTTGCCATGCGGCCTCTGGTGTGTTCGGCCTTGACCATCCTGTAGGTCAAGCACCTCTCGACGTACCAAGCGATCTCGCGTTTCATACC